CATTGAACCTGTGCATGTTTTAGTTCCATATAGAAACTACATGCTCACTAGTGACTGTGGGCATTTGTGCACATTTGTGCTGTAAAACCAAAGGAGATTTAATAAGATTTGATTGGATGTGCGTGTTTTAAGTCTGTAGTATTATTTTATCGGATTTGAGGTCCATGGTTGCATGATTTCTGCAGGTAGTTAGGTCGTGTTGCTTGTGTCCTCAAGCACGACACTTTATCGGGAATTGCTTCTCTCCTTGCTGAGTTAAGTACATAAAATTAGCTTTTTGCATTTGAAATAGCTGCATCAAGTTGTGAACTCCGTAGGGGCTGATGTGGGTTGAAGAATATTTGTGGGTCAGTGAGCACCAGAATTATCATTTAGAAATATGCATCATTTATAACTTTTCACTGGAGAATTTCTGTCTGTGAGGTAAATCTTGATTTTGCTTTTTAACCGTAGCACTTCTTTGATTCAGCAGTGTTGGGTGTCTGTACATCCTCAGGTTGGGAGGGCTGTCGTGAGATGAAAGTTTCAAACATTGATGCATCTGTCTTCTATATGTGGTTTTTTTAATCAATCTAGGGAGGACCCCAAAACAAGAGGAGCCTGAGTGGTTCACTGAAGGTCCTGAGAGCCAGTCAGACACTATCGTGCTTCGTGGTTTCAGCAGTAAACTCCTCGAAGACAGCGATAGTGACGCAGAAACCAAGGAAGCTGGAGGTGGGTAGGGTTCTCTGCTCCAGGGCACAACCCATTCAGAGGATAGATGTTTCTCTTGACCATCTGAGCTGGAATCTTGACCTTGAAAGAGTCAGGGGTGGGAACCCTTGTACATGGGCCTTTCAAACTCCTGTTCAGCTGTCTGGAGTTTTTGGCTATCTTGTTGTGATTTTGACACCAATTTCATGAAAATTGAACCTACCCTTCTTGCTAAATGCCCATTTCTCCAAGAAAGGTTGGCCGGAAGGTCTGCTTGTCCATTGACCTGTGATCAGTTCACGGGCCAACACACATGGAAGTGTAAATAATAAATGACCGTAACAAAACCCTTTATCCGATAGAATGAAATCTTTACAGATTTACTTATACTGTATGTCTGTACATACATGCCAAGCTTCGTAAGGATCGGTCGTGGGATAGTGAAGATTTTAAGCCTTCACTGCTATGAGAAGGTCTGGAAAAATTCATCTCTTATTTGGGCCAAATATGGATTCAAGTCGTGACCCAGATACTGAGTTCTTTTCTTGAATTCCTCATTTCTTCATAGGGCCGTCGGTTCAGAATCGCAACGGCAGCATGGAGACGGCCAGCTCCAGCTCCCCAGACCTGAGCCGGGAGAGACCAGAGACCATGCCAGATGCCCGGCCCAACACACCCGGCAAAGAGTTTGACATCAACGACTTCTTCAAGTTCGCCGATCAGATCCCCATGCCGGTGAGTGCCTCTTTCTCTGTCTGACCGCGATACGCCCGCATCTGTGCCCGTGCGCTATTTTGGTCAAGTCCATCAGTGCAGATGTGTCGTAGGTTACTCTGAAGGAATGTGCCGTTGTCCTTCAAAACCATTTTGCTTGAAGATAAGCTTTTTGTCTTTAGGTAGTTAATCTGTCAGAGCGTTCAAATCACTTGACTGCTGGAAGTGACATGGGGCTAATATTTATGTTAGAACATGGATATGTTCTAGAATGGTTGGAATAATAGATATGCTTTTACATTTGTTGAAGATCTAGTGCCCGATTCATTTGCTTCTTGATAGAATGTGAAGTTGTATGGAATCCCATTTTCCAATTGCTCCCATCTTTCTCGCTGTTGACAGATGGTAGCAAGCCCCGAGGAGACGGAGCGATCGGGCAAGAGTCGTTTCAGTCACCTGTTCACGTCGACAGTGAGCCGCAGCCGCAGTAACAGCAACAGCCGCAGCAATAGCAGGAAGTCCTCGCTGCACGAGGATGAGTTGGACTTCTTAAATGGTATGGCTTTCAATTCGCCGGTGACGTGGGTCTGTCCTCGGCTGTTGACTGTTGCTGTCCATAAGCAGGACACTTTACCACAGACTTTACTTACCCCTTAATATCCTTCATTATTTGCTTAAATACTTTATTACAATGAGTGGGCAGCTGTGCCCTCCAGAGAATGCTTCATTAAATCTCTGATTAACCACTTTGCGCCGGGAGCATTACGAATGTTGATGATGCTGGGATGGGATAATTTTCTTTTTTGGGGGTTTTTCAAAATTCTTTAAAACTCATATCTTCATATTCTGGACACTTACACCCACACGAAGGACTGTTTGGTTGCTACTCTAATCTGACAGACAACGTCTAATTGATGCCCGAGTATCTCAGCCAAGCCTGCCACCTTGTAAAAAGAGCCCAGATTGTGCGGTGTTACATAATTTTCTTTTGTTCTTGAACCTGACACAGTGATCTGCTGACCTCTTTTCAATAGGGGCCAGATTAGCGTGCAGCCATACTGTGTGGCTTATCTGTGGTGGAGCGCTTTTATCCACGGTGGTAATCTGCTCGCACTAAATCCCCAAAGCCCTTGTATACTGTTTCAAAACAACACTGGATTATCTCCACCTTTGAGAGTGAAAAACTGTTGGTAATGCCCAGCAGCCTGGTCTCTTGTTACGAGTACGGTCTTTTGTTACAAGGCCCAGTTCCCTTTGTCTGATGTTGGAGACCCCGGCCATGCATATAAAGAATACGGTTCTGGTACTAGCAACCCTGGCGGCAATTGGTTAACAAGTTAATGTCACCCTCATCACTCTTACATGCCAGCTTTGAAAGACTATTCATGGCACTCATGGGACAGCTGAGATCGGGGGGGGGGTGCTTATCCCCCTCCCAATTCTGAGAAACATGGGCTTCTCTAGAATTTATGTATTTATAGCAAATGCCATTAAGTATAATTGCAGTGCATGCATAAATACTACTTTCCCTTGGGAGTAAACTGCCAAAAGTAGGAGAAAAATGATCTCTTCATGGCCTGTCATGCTTTTTTTTCAAATCCCAGAACTGACAGGTCGGAGCAGCCCTGCGTTGATGTCCCCCGCCTCCGTCTTCACCCCAATCAAGCCCACTGGCGACCACGCCCTGCACCACCCACACCACCAACGCCCGCACCACCAGCCGGAGGTAAGCGGCCAGACCCAGCAGTCCCTGCTGCACCTGCTGCAGAGTGGTCAGGCACTGCCCATGCAACAGGGTCACTCAGGTAAGGGTCTTGACTTTCTCACTCCTGGGCCAGGAAAGTTGTTTTGCCTATCACACTGAAAGAATATTCAGTCAGGTGTGGGGGGGGGGGAGTTAAGATCTGTGGGTAAGAGACCCCCAAAATATTTTGGTTGAAAGGTGGTAAATTAAACTTGAATTAATCAGCCACTTTAATTTTCGTGATTGGGTAGGGTAAGTTGAAAGGACTAGTTTTTGCTAGGCAATAGAGAAAAGAAGGGGATAGTGGGTTATAAGTGTAATTGAAGTTGAGCTCTATGATCCGTGTTTCCCTGTCATAGTTGGGCAAATACATAATGTCATTGTGTCAGTGCTGAAAGGCCCTTTATTACTATTGAAAAATATTGTTCTAAACATGAGTCTGGGAAGAATTGGTTGATATATAAATATATTGCCCACAACAAAACTAGTTTTATAAATAAAAGTAAAACAGGGCGTTTGTTTCAATAAAATGTTTCTTTCACGTGCAGAGTAAGGCCCTAAGGGCCTTTTTTGCCGTAATGACCCCTTAGCAACGTTTATTGATATGAGCTTACAAAATTTAGAACGTAGATTAATTTGGTATGGTGGAGGATATTAAGTCATCTGTCTCTGATAGAGTGACAGTATTGTTCAGATTAGTTTTGTGCGCCTGTTTAGAATTCCACTGTTTTTTTTCCCACATCATTTTGAATGCGTTTATCATTATATGCAACCTCAGTTTTGAATGACTTGCCTGTAAGGGAATTTTGTATAATTGAAGTGGTAGAACCTCTCAGCATTTTCGCCTTCAAGGTCTTAAATCGCCCCATACTGTAAACGGAAGACCTGGGTGCGCTAAAAAAGCTTTAAAGGTTATCAAATAGATGTAGTATTAAGACTCGTTTTGTGAGATCTTATCACTAGAAAACTGCCCCCTACTCTTTGCAGCTCCACCAGGCCCTGTGAAAAGTCTCGCTGAAATTGAGGCGGGCCTGAAGCAAGCCTCCCTCACCCCGAAGCAGGACCGCGGCCGGTCCACACCCCCTGCTGTCCCCCTAGCCAGGCAGGCTGGACCCCCTATCAGCGGCGCCGGCGGTGGTGGTGGTGGGGTAGGGGACCTGTTTGCCATGATGGGCGGCCAGAATAAGGAGGACCGGACGGCCTTCAACCGGCTGGTGTCCAGCATGAGGGCCTCGGGCAACCTGCCAGCTGCTAAGATGGTAAGTAGATGGTAAAAGTAGGGAAGGATTTTTTTAAATTGGTTGACTTACATCGATATTGTATACCAGCCATTTGACGTCATTGCATTACAGATTATTTTTATCAAAATCCTGAAATCTACTGTTAAAAACATATTATAGTGGTTTATATATCAAATAGAATAAAATGGTTTTGGTTGTACATGCATGAAGGATTTTAAAAACAGTTGCGTGGTTTCACATATCACGTAAAATAAAAAGAACCAAAACATCAACGCATGCCGGTACTTAACAAAATACTTCCTCCTAATCCTGTTCTAACTGAATCAACAACTGACGAAATACATGGCATGCACTGGACTGTTCCTACGTCTTATGCTTTGTTGTACAAAGTTGTTGGTCAGTGGTTGTCCATCAGTGGTTATATCTACCTGTGGCCCTGCATCAGCCATTCACCTCCACACAGTACACGGGCATGCAACTTTTCCTGGGATCAGCCAATTTTCTTGTTTTTCACTTCATACTCGTGCCATTGGAAAATCGAAAATACACTGTACGAACTCTTGTAAAGATTGCAATTTCCTCTTTTGTTGTCAAAGTCCAAGTTGCAAGTATAGGAGTGGGCTTTATTGGTGCTTTCCCTTCTTTTCGGAGGCCAGGAATAACGTTTGAACCCCCATCCCTTCATAGGACTGAGTCTTATTGAAAAATAATGTACAAAGACTGCACTGGGACACTGCAGGGGAGTTGGTATTTTGGCATTCAGAAAGGTTCCAAGGAGAAAGAGTTGAAGTTAGCTCCTTTCTTTGCGTGATGTTTCCACACAGCCACCCCCTGTCGAGGGCCGTTCCCTGTCCCCCATCGAGGTCCAGCTCCTCCGTCAGCGTTTGACGCCCTCCCCACAGCCCCCGGCCCAGCAGCTGTACGGTCCCGGCCAGCCCTCCCCTCACCACTCCATCAGGAGCACTCGGGACCCCGCTGTTGCGGCAGCCGCTGCTAACATGGCAGCCATGATGGCTGAGAGTCAGCACCAGCAACAACAGCAGCATGGAATGATGATGGGGAACCAGGGAAGACGGCCACCAGCCCAGGGGGTTCCCCCCACCCTGCTGGTGCCAGACATTGTTAACAGGTAACCTCTGAAAATCTGGAGCCCCTAATTTAACTTCTCTAGTTTATTTTCAGCAATCAGCTTTGGCAGATGTGATCCAACCCAAGCGTATTCACAAACTGGTTTCCATGCCCCTGAATCTTGCCTGCCTGCAGAATCCCCTCACCCATTGACCAGGAAGTCATGGCTACCCTTATGGCCCAGGGCACGCCCTCCTCCCAGGACCGCCAGCCCCATCTCCTGAAGCCCACACCCACCAACCAGCAGGAGGTGATGAATGCCCTGCTGCAGCAGGCCTCTGCCAACCCCACCCTGGCGGCCGCCCTGCGCACCCCGGCCGGGGTTGCGCCCCAGGCGGGCATCAGCCCGGTGGGGCGGGTGCCGTCGCCGGCGATCCCGCAGGATCTGCTGCACCAGGCATTATTGCAGCAGCAGCAGCACACGCCTAGAACGCCGTCGCCAATAGGTGAGTCCGTCAGTACAAAGAGCTCAATTCTCCACAGAACTGTTCTCCGCTTCTAAAACGGTGCATCTGATAGGGCTTCCACGGTTGTATGGACCTTCACCGTGATGCCGCCATGTTTGTCTTGTTCCCTGTAGACCATCGGCAATAGCAATACAACTTCACATATTGAAAAAAAAGTAAACAACCTTTTTTCCTTTCAGCCTGAGTTTGGCTGCAGTGCTTTAAAAGGTAGAAAAGCAAGAAGGCTGCCCTTTGATAGAGGTCTATACGACAGAGTAGTTGTTAGATTAGTTTCACTGTAGGGCTAAGTGGGACTTGGGTAAAATTGATTGAGAATGACGGAGGGTCCAAATGTTTGCCCTGAAGTAGCCCTGTAGAGACTGCGACGGGTTTCAAAGGCAAATCATTCTCCATCAGCGATACATGTCGGTAGTGAGAAATGAAGTGTTTTGAGTGTCCTAAACTCTGAAGGTCTACGTTTGTATTTATGCTTCATTTGATTGTCGGGGATTTCCTCCTCAAACAGTCACTCATCGCATTTTCAATTCTAAACCCTCTCCCCAGCTTTTGGCCAGCAGTCCCCCCTCCCCGGCGGCCGGAGCCCTATCCCCTTCGGCCTGCCAGGGGCCACCTCCCCTCTCTTACCCAATGCCCGCTCCCCAGTCATTCCAGCTAGCCCAACAACCACCCCTATCCGGCCCCGTGTGCCATCCCCTCAAGAGCTGGCCAAGCACACCCAGAATATCCTGCAGCAGGCGTTAATCAAGAGACAGCTGGAGTTGCAGAAGGAGAAGTTCATTGCTCGGGAATCTGCCAGGTAAAGGCTTTCATGACATTAGTATGCTAGCAGACGGCATGCCCACCTCTAACCTTTATGGGCACATTCTACGAAATGGGTAGATTTCTACGCGTGAAATTTGACTGGTGGTGTTAGCATTCTGTCACTCTTGCTTGTCATTTGCAGATCCAAGTCTCCAGTGCCATCTATCCAAGGTCCTGGCACCTTGGCTGGTCAGATGCCGGCAAGCTCTGCCGGGCAGACACCCTCCCCCAGTGCCATGTCCCCACAAGTCCAGACAAAGGTGAGGCAGACACTGAGCAAATTCAGTGAACGGTGACCTGTGCAATGATCATTGAAGAAAAAACATCTGAAAAAGAAATAAAATCTGACATCTCGCCATCTCGGACATGCTCAGTGTGTGTGTGGGTCTAGCATATGGCGATGCTGAGTGGTAGATCCCGCACACTCATGATGATGTTCTCCAATGACCTGTGTTGTTGAAATACTGAACAGGCTCATTGGTGTGCCTTTATCGTGGTTGTGGAGAGCCGCTGTTTCAAATCTTTCATTTTGGTTTTGAAGAAAGTCAGAAGTTGTAACAGTGCCGCTCGTAAGTGACTTTGTCATACATTCATATGCGCCACTGATCACTAGCTCCTGCGTGATGAACACTCAAGTTGCGCCATTAACAAACGGGTTCCATGGTTCTACATGGAGTGGGCATGGTTTAAGACCGAGGTGACGTCACACTTATTCACAGAATAAACGTCTGTGCTAATGACAACACTTTGTTTACGAGTGTGCTTTCCTACGGTGCTCAGTGGCCCACACTGACCCCATAGGAAAGTGCACATTATTGCAGGTTGCATTGACTTTTGTAGTGGATATTTGTCCAATAATTCCACAGTAAGGGACCACAGTTGGGAGTTCCCTACGTTCAACAGGGTTCGGCTTGCTTCGGAGTTATGTTACTTTAATGCATCGGATGGCTAGGTGAAATTAAAGTAAAAGTGATATTCCTTTGTACTCTTCCCACAGTCGATGCCTAAGATCAATGCCACGGCCTTCACGCCCACGTCAGTGATTCGCAAGTGGCACGAGACACGGGCTGAGGCCAAGATGGCTAGCAGCGCCGAAGCCAAGAAGGAGAGTGACTTGAAGGATGCTGACTGGAAAGCCACAGGTGAGTCTGTGGTGCTGTTTATGAGAATGTGGAAGTTTCATCCATGTGGTACTTGTGGTGACATCTTTCCTGAGTTTAATGTGCCTCACAGAGTGCATGAGTCAGGTAGCCAGGTTACCTAAGTGCATCTTGAATACATCTCACAGAGTGCATCAGTCAGGCAGTCAGGTTACCTGAGTGCTTCTTTCCTCACTTTTCACCAATGTGTCTGGGGCTCCATTCTATGTCTGATACGTAGTGGGGTTTACCATCCCTAAGTGATTCTGCAGGTTTCACAAAGAACCTTCTTGGGTGTTTCCTCCCACCTTTAACTGCTTCTCATTGTCTCCTCTCTTTGGGTTTCTTCAGACTAATAGATCTACAGTACCTAGGGTACTCTTGAAAAAACCTTGGATTCATTACCAGAAATGCTTAATAAGAACAAGAATGATCATGTGCCCGTAGTCGTCAGCTGAACATAATTCATTGTTTAATTTGGTCCCTTTATTCATTGTTGTGCAGACAACTTGTCAGGTTCACCAAAGCACACCCCCGTTAGGGATAAACAAGCCCCTAGCATTCAGACCCCAACAGTGACCCTCACCACTGCCACACCCCCACGCTCCTCAGCGTCGTCTGAGCCCGGAGTGGGCGGGGACTCCACGGGAGTGGACGGCAGCACCTCCAAGCAAGACGGAGGTCTGTCGCCGATGCACAAGGCCAGGGAGCTGCAGGGCGGGGAACCAGGCGAGCATCACCGAACACCCCCAAGGCCGCCCATGCTACAGGAGGAGAATCAGATCACGATTCAGAAACAGCAGCAACCGCAGAGAATGCAAGAGCAACAGCCGACCGCGTCACATTCCTCACCATCCAGACACCCTGCCAAACATGTGGAGCACCAACAGCAACACCAGGCCAACCAGCAGCAGCCAGGCTCGGACCACAGCTTTGCTGTGGACGGCAGGAGCCGTGGTCCCCCGCGCCAGCCCACCAGGCCCAGCAGCCACTCTCCGATTCCCCCCGGCGTGGGCGGTCACCGCGGGGTCTCTCCTCGCCCCCCGTTTGGCCCCGGGGGCTTACCGCCCAGGATGAATCCTAACATGATGGGGTCACCGGCCGCTGCCCAAGCTCAGGCCCAGGCCCAGGCAGCAGCGCTGGCTCAGGCAACCCTGCTCCGTGGGGCATTATTCCAACAAGCCAGTGGCATGCCTCCACCTATGAGAGGAGGAGCACCGTTCCCTCCAATGCAGCAACAGGTAACACCCACCATCCAGCATATCCAGCCTTTGATATTGAATTCTATGGGGAATCTGTTCAGTGCTCACCTGTTGCAAAGATTCATGCACATACTCAAAAGCAAGGGGCTCCCTTAAAAGTTTTCTGACCTTCAGTGTTGTGGCCAGTTCACAACAGGCTTGGAAAAATCATGGAATTTTTCAAACACAATGTGTGATTTCTATTACCAGATATAAGTACATAAAATGTGTGATTTTATTCGGAACTTTAAAAGTCTGGATAGTACAAGAAATTGCGTTATTGGGTCATGAATTTTCATAATTTGGTCATGGAAAAGTCATGGAAAAGTCAATGGAATTTATTTGTCCTTTAGGTACAGGAACCCTGAATCCATCATTTACTTCCCAGAATCAGCCAATCTTTGAATTTGTACCGACCCGCCTCCAAACTTGTCAGCAGGTTCCCTCTGGAAGGCCGAGGGGGAAATCGATTGCATAAGAAAGCGGAAACAAGTTTTGATTCTGGTCAAGCCCGGCTTATTCCAGAACGTGGTCTGCCAAGTTGAATTGCCCTCGGTTTTGTACGTTGTCTCACCAGGCGCAGACCCTTCCCAACATGCCTCCCCCCATGGCCTCCATGCAGATGCTGCTGAGTCAGATGAATGCCCTCCCTGGGGCCAATCCCATGGCGGCGTTAGTAGCTGCCGGAATGCAGCAGAAACAGCAGCAGCAGCAGCAGCAGCCATCTCAACATCGACCGCCGCACGCCAATCAACAGCAGTTCAACCAGCAAGGTTTGTAGCCCGCAGTCGGAGGGAATCCGGATCCGTCAAGAATGGTTGGGAGGAAAATGGGTTTGATTCCAAAAATGAAAACGCTTGATTGCCGAGTTCAAATGTAAATCGTGAAAAATGACTGGCCCTACATTACAGAAAATCAGTGCCGTAGATCAGTCCATCGAATAGTCACTAGTCGCATGGTGGACAATGAGAAAGGAATGCTTTTTGTCACGGTCCGTTTGAATGGCTTGCGACTTTGCTCGTGATGAGCTTGACTGCAGCTCTGATTCAAACAGAACTAAAAGAGGACGAAGGAAACAGACACAGACGTTATCTTCTTGTCACTGATGTTGATGATCTTTACAGATATGTTCAAGCACATGCCCGAGATGTCGGTACCGCAGCATCAGTCTCATCACTTGCAACAGCAACAACATCACCAGCAGCAACAGCACCAGCAGCAGTCACACCGTCCCCAGCACCACCCCCAGTTTGTCTCCCCACCCCAGTCCCACAACCACATCGATGACAGCGGCATCGGCATGAACGGTGGCGGTGGCGGCGGCGGCATTGGTGACGCTCGTCACTCCCCAGTCAACCAACTGGCCAAGTGGTTTGGGGCCGACGTACTGAGCAAGCCCCTGCCCCAGATGGGGCCCGTGCTGCCCCAGGGCCAGAAGGTCATGTCCGTGGAGGAGTTGGAACGCCAGCAGCAGGTGGTGGGCTGAGGACAAGAGGTCGCGGGGCCAAGGGATGAGGTCAGAGTTTGCCTCATAACAGGCCGATCTGATAAGGTAAGCATCAACAACATGATGTTTAAGTTGTATATTGTTTATTTACTGGCGTCTTGCAACAAAGCAGTGGTCGGAAAGCATAGATAAGGCCAACGGAGGTCAGGGGTCATTCATATTAGGGTGTTTCAACATACAACGTAAAAGTGTATCAGTGAACAGATGCGGTCACTAACGTGAATGTGATCCATTGTCGGGCGCGGATTGGAATCCCCTGTGAAAAAATACCAATTGAACGATCTTTCTCTCTGAGAATTTTGCATTTAGTGTTTGACAGAAAAACTGTACACATATGTAAATTATGTAAAGTATCGTATTTGTGCAAGATTTTTCCTCTTTTTTTTTCCTGTAGGGATTTTCTTTCGTCTTTCTTCTTTTTACTGTTAATGATGGAAATGTCGATATTGTCTGCAAAAATTGTGCATTTTGGAGAAGAAAAAAAGTCAGCCAGACTAATGTCCCGGCCAGTGAGAGGTTTTTCGGTTTTCTTGGATGTCAAAGTGATACTGTGACCTTTAAGAAGGAGTTTCCATTTTTGTTGAATGTGATTTGCTTTTTTCTTCTGTGGATAAAAAAAAAACTTGTATTGAAGCCAAAATGTAATGTCTGGCATTGGTGTAGTTGAGATTGACGTTAAGTGCGCACTTGTGGTATTTTTACATTCTGTTTTGTGTAGATCCATAATTCATCATTTATTTCAAGTGAAGTTAAACCCTATAAAGAGAAATTGTGAGAAGAGAGAAGTAGGTTTACTATGGAGAGTTGCCAGATCTTTGAGTTAGTGTCACTGTCTTCTGACAAATGTAGCTCTGAATGAGAGAGAGAGGTCATTACTGTTATAAAGTTCAGTTTGTTTATACCGAGATGAAAAAAAAAAAGAATGTGAAGATTAATGTATATAGACAAGGAAAACAAATTGTCAGTGTTCAAACAGTTGTAAATATTGTACGACTTTTTTTTTTTTTGAAGAAGAAACGTGAAGCCCTTACAGAAGTTGTACCTTAAAAAAGGTGACCGACTAATAGATTCCTCTCTTTGTGGAGGGGGTAAATGGAGTGGATTTAGCTGTTTGCGTACTGCTCAGTTGAAATGTGTTTGTTCCATGCAGTCTTGGATGTTATTTAGGTTTCTTTCGTTCGCACGCTGGCAAATGACTTTGTGATGGTACCTTTTGTCACCTGTTCATTGGAGTCCAACGTGGGGCGACACGAAGTGATGGTTTCTTCGTGGTCGGTTTATTTCATGTGTTGTGCAGGGTCATCAGCCTGTGAAAAAAAAAAGAATTTGAGGCAATTAATTTATTTTTGTTGTTGTTGAAGGCATGGGTTTTTTGAATTAGATTTGGTTTCGACTGATTTTGTCGGTGGTGGGTTTGCATGACTTTATAATACTCGTAGTGGCGAGGTATTGTTTCCCCCTCGTCCTTGTGACGACTCAGAGCCTTATGACCCAAATGCATTCTGAGGTACTGCCTTGGACATGCATGTTCCCGCTTAACCGGTCATTTGACGGTCATGTTTTTTTTTCACAACCGGGGGAAAATGGGCGGTGGTCTTGCAGTCCAACACAGAAGACCCGTAGACAGGTGTAATGCTAATGCCAAGTATATGACTGGCCTTGTGTGTGAAAAATATCCCAGAATATATTTGTAGAAGTTATTAGGATTATCTGAATATACTGTGTCTTACAGGTCTCTCCCTTCATCAGATTGGGAGAAGGTACTCAGTTATGAAATCTCAAGATACAGGAAGGCATGGGGCAAATGTCAGTACAACAGGATGACATCAGTACTCTGATATTGATTGAAATAGTCTTATTTTGACTGTTCTAACCCTAGCCTCCTTTTGCTAGGGACCCTCCTCAAATCCTCCAATTTGGGAGGGGGGTGAAAAAATTAGATTCTCCCTCAATTCTTTGAAATCCCCTAAAATTTCTTGAAATGTTACTTGGAGGTGTGCCAACTGCCTCAATCCTTCAAAATCCTCCAGCAATTCCCATCATTGTGTTCAGGCAGTGAGAATGGTATTCTTGAGCAGTGTGAGTGATTCAAAAGAAATATCGGGCTGGATTTATGCATGATGAAGCAAAAACAAACAACACAAGGTCTAACCCACGACCTTCAAGCATGGAATTTGCAATCTGCCATACACTTTTGCCATTCATCCAAAATCCCCCAAAACTGCCAAAGGATTTTGGAGGATCGAGAAAGGTTAGAGTTAACGACCATCACGTACCTGCATGTGTGACGTGCCACTTTGAACTTTGTACATGAGAAATTATTGTTCATTCAAACCTGTATTATTGTACGGTGTCCCAGAATGTTTAGCAAAGAGCTTTTTTTTCACAGTTCACCCAAATACATGTACTTATGCAGCTCTGTGTTAATGAAGAACGAAACGTTTGTGAAAACTCCACCACTGAAAATAGATCCCTGATACTTTCAAGTTTTGTATCGTACAGAATGTTCTTTTGTAATGGTTTTTCCACGATTAATAGTCTGTGTATTTGTAAATGTTCACCTTCGTATACTCCTAGTCTAATGAAATTTTGTTGTTGAAAAGTTATTGTAAAAAAGTGGACAAAATTTTTTTCTAATGGCTTAATGAAGGGTAAAAAGCCCGAATATGTTGCTTGTGTTGTCAACAAGTTGTTTTATTTAAAAATGTGTAGTAACATAAGAAGACAAGGTGTCGTTACTTGTGGTCTTGTTACATCCAAAAGTGGTTTCATTTTTCTGAGTTTGGGTTGTGAATGTACTTGATTTGTTTAAAACGAGATGTGGAAAGTTTTCGTCCGCGACATTTTGTTCGGTCACCCTCTGTGGTCCAGAGTTAAAGGGATTGCCAGATGTTGCCGCCAAAAATGCACTCGTCAAATCTTTGATAGTCATTAATATCACACTACATCAATTGCAAGTCTCCTTTTGAAACCGCCCTTTGATTAAAAATCCAACAAGTTTGGTTATAGAAAAGAGCAGTTTACCGAGTGATGAAGGGATTTGGACGGTTTCCTTTGAAGTTTGTCTTGAATGGGATTTCGTAATCATTGGTTCATCTGCAAACCTGGTGAACATACAAGATCTGGCTTCTTTAAAGGGTGCCGTGTGTGTCGGAGAGACCGACTTTTTTTGTGAATATTTTGGAGGAGGTTAGAAAAACCGAGGTGCATGTTGGAGTACCAAAGTTGACCAGGGCTCTTTGTGTCATGTTGTAAGTGCAAAGTATAGACACAGAGTGGGAAACCATGAAATTGCTTCATCTCCATATGCTGCATTGAATAATTTTGCCGATCTGCATTGTGGTTTGTCTTTTGTTTTTAGTAAGTTGTGGCTATGTGGTAATCTGTCAGAACTGTCGTCCATTTGTAAAAGGTATGTCAAAAATCAGGCCGAATTGGGTACAGCTAGGGATGGAAGAAGCAGTTGACAATGACCTGCGTCTGATTTTCATCCCTTTTGACTTCTGGGATTTTTCTTATTTGTTTGATGTTTTAAAAGTCCTTTTTCAAAAGACCCAATTAAAAAAAGGTAACATTTGACATAGCAAGTGGTGTATTTGACAAATATTGCACTTCCCAAATCTGACGTATTACCCACATTTTCCCGATTCTGACATACTACGTCAAATATATCATGTACAAAATGTGAACTGTATCCTACATTTTAGGTCATCTCAATGGCATTAAACAACAGTGGTAAAATAAATGAACATTGGAGTTTCCTTAAGAAGGGAGTATTTGTACTCCCGTTAGTCAACTGTTCAATTTGTCCTTCCAAAAAGGTATTAAGCTTGAAAAGATTCACAATTGAAATTGGTCATTCGATTTCCACTCTCTACTTATGTTTTGTCTCATCTCTGAATGATACAATTGTTCACTAATTGTATTCCATCCATATTAACTTCTTGCTTTGATCTTATTGATTGACGGAGTGAGTGTACATTACTTCCCGTATGCATGCAAAATCAAGCAGTCTTGAAGAGCAGTACATATGTTTTCAGGTATCGCCATGAATTTTTGTAGTATGTCACCGTTTCACAGCATTTTGAATGGGTCCTAGCTTTCACCCTTGACTTTGGACTTGTGTGTACTGGTATTTATCATGCTTTCTGGATATTTACAGAATTAAAAGACGATAACACTTGATCAGCAACTACTTCTTGGCATTCTGATCTGCTTGTTTCAGAAATGTTTCTGTGAGTTGAGTTCTGAGATCACTCTCACAAAAGTGTACATATACTTGTTTTGAATGAAAGGAACCCGGAATTAAGAATTTTGTACACTTGACATTTTAGATGCATGTAGCTCATCCCGTTAAAAGCACTTCCCAGAAATGAGAAGAGTGTCCTTTTAACATATTAAAGGTTGCACATCTTTACATGTAGAGCCATGATTCTTCATGGCTAAAAGTGTCTCGCCCTGGAGTTGGATCATTTACAAATCCTGAAATGTTGAACAGCATAGTGTAATACTTATTACTATAAATCAACGTTTCCTTTCAAATGCTGCTCTAAAGACAACAGACTGCGAAAATTCATTAGATTGGATAAAATAAGACTTTTCCCAAAATTACAATGCATTACATGATTTTATCACACCCATCTGACCTTCACTCTTGTCTCCAAAAAGATAAAGGCAGAAACTTGTGTGAATATACATGTTCAAACACACACACACGCAGTCTGTTGTTTGCATAGGTTGCACATTAGCTCGGTTCAAGCGTTATTAAAAAAATCGACTCTAAATGCAGAAAGTTATTTAAAGTATCGGGCTGATACAAGTCGATCTTTATTAACCATTTGTAATATACACTCTACCAAGATCTCTTGAAATAGTCAAGATTTCTGAGTCAATACTTTGAACATTCAACCGCATGTCTTTGCCAGCCCACTTCAAACACCCGACTTTGCATAATGAACAAGAGTGCGTGACGACCAACCAGGCAAGATGTAGACAAAACCAACCGTTTGCAATGGAGCGTGAATGGAATTACATTCAAGTGTGTGTTACTGTGCGCAGTAGTATCGAAGACACCAAGCACGTCACGGTCTGATACACACCGTGGTGTAATCCTGCTAGTGTGACTATAGGATCACACTGCGTAAGACTCAAAAGTTTCTTTGAAGGCATTACCCTGACACGGTCAGTGAACTTGATACGCTCTGTAAGCACACCTGACTACACTCACACAAATTAGTAAACCAACTTTGTTACCGTGTAACGGCCTATGTAACACATTAGTACCTCCCACACACCGAGCCTTCAGTAGTCTATACAAGCTCCAGTCATTCTTGAGATGACTGAGGCTAATTCCTGTATGATGGGCTAGGTTTTCTCACGGTCAGTCACACGTCCAACTCCTCTTCCAGGATGATGGAGAATGATTACGCAGGGTAAACCAAAAGTCATTGAAATCCATCCATGACATTGATTACTGTGTTCTTTAGGCTTAGAGGGGGAAAACCCAGTTGAAACAGAAACATCTCCACAAAGAAACCACTCAAAAGATAAATTTCAATAGACGTACCACACTATAGAGGGATTTCGCATTAGCGCCGTCTGCGGATATCCGCATCGAAACCGCCCGTGGAGTGGACTCAGTACATGCAGAATCCGGTTCGTATGAGTGTGACGCCACTTCAGTCTAAACCATGCCCACTGCACATGCTGATACACGACCATGGCAGGTACGTTTCGCCATGGTTCTAAAGATGCAACAGCGTCTTTAGAACCTTCCTATGGTTTTACAGCACAAATATGCACGAGTGCCCACAATCACTCTCTTGCATGTGTTTCTATATGGAATACAAACATGCACAGGTTCAGTGTGTACACAGTTGGTTGCCAGCACAAAATGACCCAGGGTCTTTTGTGCAGTCCTCTTCACTGCATTTGGTTTACTGCACAATTATGCACATGAAACAGTGAAGCACAGTTGTTGGGCAGCACAAAAGTGCAATCTGATCTTCCTGTGAGGGACAGTTGGTGCAGTGCACAATATGACACAGCTGTGCATCTTTGTGCTGTTTACCAACTGACCCAAAGGAGGGTCAGGACCCAAAGAGTGACTTCAGGAGGGATGGCTGAGGAGAATTCAAATTGTTATGTTCGCGTGACTTTAATCACTTGCCGCCAAGGATTTCGGTTTTGGACATGTATTCTTTATACGCGCGGCAAGAGTCTCCGAAACGGACAAAGGGAACTGGGCCTTGTAACAAAAGATGCATACTCGTAACAAAAGACCAGGCTGCTGGGAATTACCAATATTTTTTCATTCTCAATAGTGGAGATAATCCACTCTTGTTTTGAAACTGTACACCATGGTTTGGGGCATTCAGTGCGAGCGGATTACCACCGGGGACAAAAGCGCTGCACCACCGCAGCGATGAGCCACACAACAACGCTGCACGCTAATCTGGACCCTATCGAAAAGAGGTCAGCAGCGCACTGTGCCAGTTTCATGAAAAAAGAAAATTATGCAACACTGCACAATCTGGGCTTTCTTTTCAAGGCAGCAGGCCTGGCTGAAATACTTGGGCGTCAATAGATGTTGCCTGTCAGATTAGAGTAGCCACCAGACAGTCATTCGTGTGGGTGTAAGTGTCCAGTAAATGAAGATAGGAATTTGTAAAGAATTTTGAAATCAGAAAAAAATGAAAATTATCCCGTCCAAGCATCATCAACATAAGGAAAGAGGTCCAGACATCCTATTTTAAGTTTCAAAGGTTTGGTTTAGTGGTAGGAGATTAGATGTCCCTAACCACATGAAAAATTGGCAATGGGCGCTTTGTCTTAACATCTGCTTGCAAGTCCCAGTCCATGCAAAAATACTATTCTGTACTTTTCTTTACCGGCTGGAGTATACTTTGCTTCCACATCATCAAAAGTGTAGAGGGAAAAACTCCATGGGCGGGGAAGGTAGACTTGAGGGGGGGAAGGGACAGGCATAATTGGGAATTGAGTATTTGGAAGTCAAATGTAAGTCCAAGAATCCCTTACGTGACATCAAACCCTGCAAAGCAAAAAACAGGTGAAAAAATTTCAATGTTTATGCAGCACTTGGACATTTTTCAATATTTGATACACTAGTAAAATTTAATATTAGTATTTTTCATGTAAAATGCTAGAAACACTGCAAACAAATTGGAGTTGGACTTAAAAAAACCTGCATTTGCATAACTGAAAAGTTTAACTGGAAGTGGACAAAGTTGTGAAATATCTATTGCTTAAGTAATAATTAACTAAGGGACTAAATATGTACATGTACTTGGCTGGTCTTCAATGTGTGTTTAAGACCGGCTCATGAGAATGGATGCGACTAATATCCTCGTCTGCGGCTTGGGCATTATCAGCATTCAGTCTCCTGAGCAGGTCTTAATGTTAGTTTAAGACCGGCCAAGCACATAATTATTCCCTTTATAAATACCTTTTTAGTCAGGAGTCGAAAGAAGTCAATACGTGATGGATTTCCAACGATTCTGTTCAAGAATTTTACTTTCATTTTCCCAAACACCCCCGTCCATTTTATGGTATATTACTTTTACAAGTTGTCCAACAGAATCTCCTTATATGGCCTTAGCGCGCGTGGCGAGCTGCATGCACACAGACTCTTGACCAATCAGAATCAATTCAACCGTGTCACATCCAGGTGCCAGTGCGTGATTTACGCAGCGGGCATTATCACTTCTCAGCAGGCATTATCAAATGTTAATACACCGTCAAGTTGCTTGTTTTTGAATAGGGGGACTGTCCGAGGTATTTATGAATATCTAGTAATGTTTTATTACGGATACAGTATAAATCACATTATGATACATATGGAATCGTCAAAACCATTACCATTGGGGATTTTCTTTTTTGAGGGGAGGGGTTGACAAATTATGCTCTCATCCTGTCTCTTTTGTTCTAAAAATGAACAAAACTGGGTACTGGCAATGGTGCGCACAACAGGCAGACTTACTTCTTGACAATCTGGATGACATCTTCATCATTGAGCACATGTTCCTTGCCCACCTTCTGGGGGTTGTGCTTCACAGATGATCCCCACACCAATGCACTGGACAAATGAGAGCAGAAATACAGGGGCTTTTAAAAGGATCATTAGGTCTCAAGGACGGTCTCAAAAAACAAAACATTTCTTTTCTGTTTAGAACACTGGACTTTGTTAACCTAGGATCTGACTCAATCTTTCCCAGCTGTAATGACTAGACCGACGTCCGGACTTACTACTTGAAGTCCTTCATGATACCCTTGTGTAGGTTGTTGCAGAAATCCTCCACGGTTAGGTGGCCCGACTTCAGGATGACCGGTGCCTCATAGTCCGGCAACTGACCCTTGGGTTTGGTATATCTAGTTGAGGAAAACAGGTACGAAAGATGAGAACGATCACTTCTGGTTTTTTTAACACCTTTCTTAAGACGACGTCATATAAACATTGCCAGCTAGCCTTACATTCTGACCAGCTGCAGGTAGTCCCACATCTTTTCAAGCAGATCGTCAAAGTTCCACTTGTGGTGAGCCGAGATGGGCACACAGTGAGGGATCTTGTAGATGATGTCCAGCTCCTGACAGACAAAAAGGTATCACACGAACTACATGTTGAATTTGTACGGTTAATTTGTACAAAACCAAAAGCTACATTGTTTGGCCTCGTTTACCACTTGGGTCATTCTATAAATTCGGGTGACATTTTTGTTCCGCTGTTACACCTGACCTCTGTAATTTAACACGGAAATATCACTGAAATTGATTTTGTTTGGCAGGCTATTTGCATTACTTCATCCCTTTTGAAAATACTGTGTTCTAAACTTACCAAATCATATGTCAGGGAAAAAAAATTGGACATGAAATTTATGATATTGGTCCCAAAACTATTGGTAGTTTACGCATTCTCTGCTATGAAGTGGCTTACACAGTGACAATCCGAGATCCTTCAAAGCTAGTCGAACGAATTTGCCAAGGGGTTCCCGTATTAAAAGTGGATAACTGAAGGATCTGCGAATCTTTCTAACAAAAAAAAATTGACTCTGGGGATACAACTGTCTAAGATGGCTGCTACGTTATGCAGCCCTTTCAAATACCCACCTCTATGGAGATCTGGTCGATCTTGTTCAGCACATAGATGCACGGAATGTAGACCCGGTTGCCCTCCACCACGTCAATCAGGTCGTCGGCGGTGGAGTCGCTGCGTAGGACCACGTCGGCGTTGTGGATCTTGTACTCGGCCAGGATACTCCTGACCTGGTCCAGGTCCAGCGTGGACTGAGTGCAGGTTGTGGTCAGGTTGATACCGCCTTTCTCTTTCTTACGGAAGCCGATGTTGGGTGGGGTCTTATTCAACCTTGTGTTTTTGTCAATCGAGGACAAGGCATTTAAAAAAAGGATTGATTTCAGTACATTTGTTCTAGTGGGGAAGTTATCCCATATTTACCCTCTACAGGACGTGACATCATGGTTTGGACATCTGCCAATTCTGACCACCTTTGGCATTTGTCCAACAAAAAGCAGAAATGGTCAGACAAAGTATCTGGATGAAATGTAAACGTAATAGGCCTAATGCAAAATTGTGCTCTGGTTTTTGTGCTTATGAATATTCAAATCGTAACAGCATGTTTTAGTATGATCTTTTCCCATCAAAAGTCGGTAAGGGCAGAATAACATTGACCCTACTAATAACTGGGTTTTGTCAAACCACTTTTTATGTGGCCGAACTTCAAGCACTGCCTCTATGTTCCAAATCTGTGGTATCCAAGGTGTAGAGATGTGGAATGAAGCACACATGATTGTCATATCACTTACACTTTTGTCACTGAATTTGTCATTAATAAGATGCTTTGTTTTCAGTTGAGTGAAAGGCGAACCAGTGGTGTAAAAAAAGGCAATTAACTACTTTGCGCCGGGGGACCCAGTATCGGGTATCTTATGTTTGTACACATAGCCAGGGAGCCCGAAATCAGACTAACCAGCCAGGTCTTGTAACAAAAGGCCGTACTCGAAACAAATGACTGAGCTGCTAGGACTCGAAAACATTTTTTCAGTTTTCAATAGCGGAGGTAATCCGTCCTTTTTTTTGAAACACTATACCACTATGGATGGCATTCAATACGAAGGTTTACAACAAGGGACGAAATACCGCTGCACGCTAATCTGGCCCCATTGAAAAAGACGCCAGCAGTGAACTGCTCTAGTTTCGAGAACAAAATAAATTAAGCAACACTGCACAATCTGGCCTCTCTTTAAAAGGCAGCAGGCCTGGCTGGAAAACACGGGCATCGATAAATGTTGCCTGTCAGATTAGAGTAGCCACCAGACAGTCATTCGTGTGGGTGTAAACGTCCAGTAAATGAAGTAATGATTTTTGCAGAATTTTGAAAACGGAAAATCATGAAAAATGCCCATATTTCTGTTCGGCCATTTTAATTGACCCCGGGGCTAAGTGGTTTAAACTCAAAATGATGAAAGTACTAAAAAGAACTTCAAACCAGAGAGGGCTCTTTTTTATGGAGAGATGGAAATTCACAATATTAATGACGTACACTACATGACTGCTTTATTCACAAATGCGAATTAGATATGTTCCAATTCTTTTTTTTTTGGTATTATGGGAAACAAACTATTGACCACTAGCAAAATGAAATAAAAAAGAAAATGGTGGCTTTATACGTAATGTCTTATACTGATATCCTTTAAAGCTTATTTTGGCCAATCAAGAAAGGAATCTGTTATTAGCAAGGGAGTTCTCCTCTCTGATTGGTCAACCTACAATCCTACCTGATGCCAAAGCCTTCTAGCTCATGCTCCAGTAGTTTCTTGTGTTTGAGCGGTTTGAGGACGTCCAGCACCATGAAGATGATACTACACGTCCTCGCAACTGCCAAATACAAATAACGTGCATTAGATTAACTAGGTGTCTTGCTGAACCCACAGGAAATCTTATACCTACAGTGAGTCTATTGTCTTGAATTAAGGGAGTAAGGAATTAAAATGAATACATGGACATGACTTGAATTATTGGCAGAAATTATTGTCTATTAAACCAGTGCACAATTTGTCTCCTTGCAGAGAGCTCTTGTCCTCAGAACAGAGCAAAATCTGAGCTCACCAGCAATGACCTGACGGCCTCTGCCCTTCCCATCTTTGGCACCTTCGATGATACCAGGAAGATCCAGAAGCTGAGAAGAAAAGAACTTTTGATTATCAATGCTATTACTATCAAACTTTAATCTCTATTATAAAGAAAAACAAAAACACTGCCTGGAGCAGGATTTGAACCTGCGGCCTCCAGAACACCGTACGGTGCTCTACCAACTGAGCTATCCAGCCCTAAGTTGGTGGCTCTTCCCATTTGTCAATATCTTTGTTTGGGGGGTGCTAGCCAGAAGCTAGTGACAAATGGTACAGCCACTAACAGGGCTGGACCGCTCAGTTGGTAGAGCACCGTACGGCATTCCGGAGGCCGCAGGTTCATATCCTGCTCTGGTCAATTTCTTTGTTCATCATTATAATCATTTATAGGGCCCCAAGTCAAAATAGAAACGGTTCACCAAGCAGGCAATGATTGCCCTTAGTCCTTAATCCGATTCAACAGCAAGTGGGCAATAATTGCAAGAGAGCGTTTCCTGAAAGGGAGTTGGCTATACGGCAACGTCGTTGATGCATGCCACCATTTCCCCCACCTTGGCCTTGACTCCCAGCTTACCATGAATGGTTATTGTGCATCAGCTTTGTTGTGTAAATTGGGCCAGTTCATCCACAGGCCTAGCACAACTTATTCAGAAGGGCGAAGCAATTAATCTCTAAATAAAAGACTAACTCCATTAGAGTCTGCAGGTCTACGTGCATCACTAAGTCTCGTTTCATTGAATTAAAGGCCTATTCACACAAGCGCCGATAACAGAGGTCCTGTGTGATGAAATCACATCGATGTTACGATCGCAGAGATATCATGTCGTGTGAAAGTCTATCTCGGTCACGAAATCGCACGGTTATAACACAGGTCCTGAGCGATCGTCGCAGCGATCGAGACCTCCTCCAAAACTTCGCATCGATGCAAAATCTGTGTTAAGATCACCGTGATTGGACGTGTGAATGCACAGTGCGATCGTTGCGAGGGTCCTGTGAGTTGATACACCTTGTGGTTGTGCACGGCTTCCTCCATTTTTATCTAGATATCGGCCTTAGCCATCATCCTAATGACGTCCACCTCAAAAGTCAAGGAAATCTTCTTTTTTCTGTTTTTTTCAAGGTTTTTGGTAAAATACTGTGAAAAACAAAATGACAGAAGTTAACACATGCTTACGTACGTACGAAGCTGGTATCGCACTTGGGGTGTATGTTCCAACGTGTAGTTCATGGCGCCACTTATCCAGTATTGAATGTCCATGTGGGCCCTCGTACCGAACTCTACCGAACTACACGTGCTATATAATCCTACCAAATTGCAACAAGCTCGTTTCCCCACGATCCATGGGCCTCGACCTGCGCGAGACTCGGGCAAGAAACTGGGGGTGAGTTTGTTTTGTCAAACATTTCGTTTTTGCTGTGAAGCCGCTATCGCTAGTATAGTACGGGCCGGCGCCGGTTTCCGATCCGCGCCGCGAGCTGCATGCATGATTTCAAAAGAAACTTCCATTTGCAAAAATTGCGAATTTAAAGTTCATCTTTGCCGTGCTTTTTGTGCAAAATATATCGCATTTTGCGATGCGAATCCAGCTATTTCCATCACTGCTTTGCTCAGCCATTTCAGACATGTCAGAAGTTGCAAATCGTGGCGGAACAAGGAATGTCTGCTACGCGATAAACATTGCACTGTGTGAAAGTCGGTGAAGAAATCTCACAGACAGCAAGACACAGACGCTGTGGCGCCGATTGTCGCAGACATGCATTTTCGGCGTTCCTGTGAAGAGGCCTTTAGATCTGGAGTTTTCTTTCCCAAAATCTAACAATGCCAGGCAGTGATTTCCACATTATAGATTTGTCAAAGATTGGAATAGACATTAGACGAAATGGAGAACATTACAGATGCAACAATCACGGGACTTCAAAATCAATCTAAAAAAGTAAAATAAGAAAAGTCGACTTATGTTGGTAGTTATTAAGGACAGTGTAGCAGACTGAAGGAAAAAAAAATCCATATCCATGCAAACGGTTGTACAAACCCATCCCCAAACCCGCCAAAATTGTTGACATATCAAGGGGCTGGGGTCCCAGCTGTTGATAAACAGCTCTAATGACCAAACCACCAGCCACAATTGAGTGTAATCCTTAACCACTTGCTGCCGGGCGGATTTTTCTTGATCCAGACAAAATGCTGGGTCCTTTTCAAGATTTTCCGTATTCAAAATTCTTCAAAAATTCATCATTTCATTGAATGGCCGTTTCTACCCACGTGAAGGACTCTTTGGGACTATTCTGAAGCTGTCAGTTAACTTCATTGACTTTTGAATATTTCAATCAGGCCTGCAGCTTTGGAAAAAGAGCCCAGATTGTGCGGTGTTATGTAAGATCCTTTTGTTCCCGAAACCGGCACAGTGCACTGCTGACCTCTTTTCAATAGGGGCCAGATTAGCATGCAGCGGTGCTGTGTGGCTCATCGCTGCGGTGGTGGAGAGCTTTCATCCCTGGTGGTAATTCGCTCGCTCTAAATGCCTCAAACCGTGGTATACTGTTTCAAAACAAGGCTGAATTATCTCCACTACTGAGAGCAAAAAAATATCGGTAATGCCCAGCAGCTCAGTCTTTTGTGCAGAGCATGGTCTTTTGTTATAAAGCCCAACTCTTTTGTCACAGTTCTGGGCTCCCCTGCTCTGCATATAAAGCCTATGTACTCGAAAACGGGTTGCCCTGCAGGGAGTGGTTAAAGCTCTCTATTGTTAGAAAACATCACCCAGGACTGGTGTTCATGGAACCACAAGCAATTTAGCTAGTGACTCCCTATCTTGCCCGCTTTACTCTGAAGCGGGTAAGGAGCTTACCGTTTATCTATCGTTTCCCACTTCATGAACCGTTTCTAATTTGACTTATTGAGCCTCTAACCACCTAGTCAGTTTCTCTATATTCTTTGTTTCAAACTTTAATCTCAGAAGAGTATTTCTCGAACAGACAACACTAAAGTCCTGGACCCCCAGCTTGGAACGGGGCCCACTACAGATGGAAACAAAAAATGTGGTGCAGGCAGGATTTAAAGTCGTGAGTTGATTTGTCAATCTCACGTAAGATCTGGAATATCAATAGTGTAATGTGCTTGAGTTTCATAGTGAAGTTGCCCCCTCACTTTCTGAGCATGCTAAAACAGTGCCTCGATGTCTTACCTACAGGTAGAATCATTACTTACCTCTGAACATGGGGTCAATGCAATTTCGACAGAACCTTAATTTCAATTAGACCTGTCATCTAGAGGACTAGGCCAAACAGTGTTGCAGAGGGTGAAAATCATAGCAGTGAAAGACAATTAGATTTCAGAAGCTCTGATGAGATCAGCCAACCACTTTATGTCCTCACTCTGATTTTTGGGAGAGGCAAGACAGTGCCCTCGATAGTTCCCGCACAGCGCCAATAGTCGCAGCACTGATGCCAGTCATACCCGCTACATGCCTACCTGAATCTTAGCTCCCTTGTAGCGGATGACACCAGGCACGGTGGTGAGCGTGGTGAACTCATAGGCGGCTACTTCAGAGTAGACACCGGCCAGGTTGCTGAGCAGTGTGGATTTACCCACAGAGGGAAAGCCTGAAAAACAAACGCACAAACAGTACACAAGAGGTGAATTGGGAACCAGACTCATTGGTGGATGCCATTAGAATGGTTGTGAATGTTTCCAAGGGAAAACACTGCACGTTATTGTGCATAATTGATATTTGCATTTTAGCTCAATATTGTTACAGAATATTAATGATAATCTGATTTCTATTAGGTTTTCAATCCCTAAAATTTACTGTTATGGAGATGAAATACCGGTACAAAAGAATACACAATTTTTGATTTCTGTGAAAAATTAACATCTAGCAGCTGTGGTCATGTAAAGGAGCACATAAGTTTTTACCTTACCTACAAATCCAATTCTTGCATCTCCGGTTTTTGCAACATCAAAACCTGACGGACAGAACAAAGTCCAACAGAAAAGGGAAGTTTCTAAACTGTTTCCTCTTGTCACAAAATAACTTTCGTACATTTCAGGTGAATTTGATTTCATACATGTAGTTAAGCAAACGATAGAGTGAATATTAGCCTATATAAAAGGGCATGCAAGTAGGAATTAAGAAAAAAAAAAAGAAATTAATTTTCAAACAGCACAAGACTTCTTAGGACAAGACAAGTAGAATCCTGGATGACAAACCTTCCCCTGCTGGGCCACCTCCCCCTTTGGGGGTGATGAGCTCTCGTCGCAGCTTAGCAAGGCGAGCTTTAAGCAGACCAAGATGTGCACTAGTGGCCTTGTTCTTCTGCGTACGAGCCATCTACATGTACATATATATACCAGACAGACAAACAGAGACATGAAGATAAAAATAGAATGACTAGAAAAACAAATTATTATTTTGGCTGCTCATAAAAGTTCATTTTCTAGGCTACTCATGGTTTTAGAGGATTTTTCAAGGGAACTAATTTCCGGGCTCCTTTCATAATGCCTCAATTGGATTCAGTGGAAGAAATGCCCAAGGCTGCCATAAAAAAAAAAATTCTACAGTATACTACTAGAATTACAAGCTGGAGTCTGCAACGCCATGAATGGGACAGAAAGGGTGAGAAAAAGACTGCATAAAAACATTTTTTGAATATCAATCCATTACATGAGCAATTCCAGAAATCAGGGGTCCAGAAGTGTGATATTTTTGTGTCCCTGTTACATCTGACCGTTGTTATTTGACATGGAAATATCACCGGAATTGATTTCAAACTATTACTATTTGTTTGGCGGGTAATTTGCATTAATCCATCACACTTGGAAATTAGAAAATGTGTTCTGAACTTACAAAATCATATGTCAGATGTGACAGGGACAAAGAAAAAAATGGACTCCTAATATCTGGAATTACCCACATATATTTAATCAAGTGACATGGCACAGAATTCATAAAAAAAACAACTTAAATAACTTATATGAATGGAAATATGGGTAGGCCTGTTCAATATCACATGATAATTATTGAAACTGCAATATTTGTTTCATATCAAATATCGAATTGAGCCTTTTTTCTTGAATGAAAATATCAGGAAATTCGATACTCCTAACAATCTGGCATTTTACTTCCACTGTTAGTGGAGCATTGACCGCATTGCTTTCGTCTTGTGGCTTTCCTCGAGTTCAACAAGAACGTACATGGACTAGCAGTCCACGTGCCAAGTTGCTGATCAGCACTGCAAGTGCACGCTCCAGGCAACTATTGCACCAAGATCCAAGCTGTCTCAATACCCATGCAGCTATGTGACTGATCTTTACATGGAAATAAAGATATTTATTTGGACTTTGTGAAAGCTTAATCAGTGTTCTTGTATTTTTCAGTATCCAGAAGTGTCATATTTGTCACTCAAATCACACTTTTATCAATAATGAAAACAGTGTTTGCAGTTTGATGAACATTAGTTCCAAAAACTCAAACGATAAAGTAACAATGACATGAATTTTGGGAAAATATGGCACACACGGTCATAACCAAATTTACGGTGTATGTAAAATAGTGGCCAAGTGCATTTGGTTCTGGTACCATGTGGGATAGAAAGCCTCTCGGCCCGTACAAGCAATTAAGTGACAGTGGTCTGTATGTTTACAAACTCCTAAAAGATCTACAGAAAATAACTTCATTTCCTGAATTCCACTGAAATAAGGCAATTCTGGGCTCCTTTTATTCTCTTGGATTTTCTGATACACAGCTCCTTACAATGAACCAGTTATCTGTTGCTGCTCCTTGCTTGTACCGTCCATTCATTTTAGACACCCTACTGCGTTTGAGATTTCCATGGGCACATTTCAGGGGCATGCACATGGCTGCGGAGGTGCTGAAGTCGACTTTGCTGGTTTACCTTTTGTTTCATCCGACTTAACACCATGGCTACAGATGCTTTAGATGGTAACCAGTGATGAAAGACGGCACAGCGCGTAATACCGTAATTTCGTTGTTTTCATTTTCACATGTGAATGATACTTCAAGGTTCACGATTAACCGTTTTTTACGTATAAAAATATTCAATTTAGTTTTCTTCTCGGTTTGGGGTATTAAAAAAATTTTAGAAATGAATTCAAGTTGGGTTTACCCAATGAAAAGTAACATTTAGGCCAGTAGGGGCCGACACGCTTCAGGGATCAGTGCCGTGGGCGATCGGACTGTGTGATCAGACTTTATTTTACACAGACCTCGTGACGCAACCCTGGGCAGGTGGACGTGAACTCCCCCCAAAAGGACATCATCACAATGATTTCGATCATGGCAATTTTTTCACAATAAAGGCCTATCGGTTTAGGAAAACATGGATATTGAACAGGCCTTAAAAAAGGGAGAAAAAATTGATAATAGCGTGATGTAGATATTTTTAAAACCCAGACCCACTTGGGGAAAAAGGTCCCCTTTTAAGGCGACATTCTCTCTTTCTGGAAACTGGTTTTGTCTCCAAATAAAGGGACTCCTCCGAATTCAGGGACAGTCTCCGAGTTGATGAGTGATGTGCACCTCTACTGACAAGTTGGTTGGCATACGAGTTGGCACGTGTACGAGTTGATCTGTTCCCGATCAACTGTGCACATCAAGTGATTAATTTTACACTCCACACTGACATTTTTAGTGACAATGATTGATACATTGTCATTGAACACTGATGTCTGAATGAGTTGAGATCAATGACAATGAGTTGACAACGTCAACTCTCAGCATCAATGTCAAAATTGTCAATGTCAGTGTGGTTGACTGATGCATGCACTCATCTGCTCATGACCTGATGTGATGACATGTATAACTCAGTGTTCATACTAATTACCGTCAGCACGCTACTGACCGCCAACACACTGTCAACACAGCATCAACACTCCAAAACACGTTAAAAATCAAAAGAAACGAAACTCGACCGTAACGTGTTTGCCGAAGGGATATTTTGCCTAAACTTCAACAGGTTAGACTCAGGAAAATTGCCATTTTATTTCAGCTGAATCGCCTCCTTCGAACAGCTCAGAAATCAGCTGCCATGTTGCCTCTTGGGTGAATGGGACCATACCATTACGCTAGAGGGGTGGTTATATTACATAATAGAGATACAACGCTTTTTCCTTAAACGTTACTATATTTGTATTTTTCTTAAGATTGAATAATTGTCCCTTTTTGTATTTTGACAATAACTGTGTTACACAAAATCTATGATGTTGTTTCTGCTATATTTATTTTTACTCTCTTAAAAAGTATTCAATTTATAGCACAGCATATTCACACCTAAATGGTACAGTCCAAGCTCCATGAGGAGGCAAGATGGCGACGAACAGCCTCGCTGCTAGAGATCTTTTTATTTTCGTGTAAAAAACTCCATTTCGCAAATTGATTTGCGATCTCCAAAACCAACTGGAAAGTCTCTTTCAGCCCAAATATTACACTTCTATTAAGTTCTATGCCTCTTTTGTGGATTAAAGTTGTATTTTTGGGAAGTTGACGCTGTGTTAACATTACTATCGTGAGTTGACGGTGTGTACGGTGTGTATCGTGTGTTGACAGTAATTAGTAAGACCCTAACTCAGGTGAAGGCTGTAGGCCTATCTGTGTATCATGGACAATGATGGAAGCGTGCCAATTTGACATGTTTGACGTTTCTGCCATTAATTTGATTAAAAATTCACAAATTTGTACGATTTAAAACAAATACCAATCTCTAGTCACTACAAAATGTCAAATGAAACAAACCTCGGCTTCTATCTCAGCAATTTTCTCAAGAATCCCCATATTTAAGGTAAAACTGCGTCAGAGCATCGATCCCACACGTCCACACGACAAACAAAAAGTTGCGAAATATTTTCACTTTGCGAGTCAGGTCTAGTCTCTTGACGACGAATACGAATATTGCTCAGTGACATTTCAGATCTGTGAAGGTACCTACTTTCATGCTTCCCATAATTCCATAGTTTCAAGATGGCAGCGCCCTTGGTGCGCGTGTTGGTCCTCAGTTGTCACGGTACATTCTACCCGAGTCTGAGGTGTTTTAGGCACTTTCCGTTAGAAGGTGCAAGTCATATAAAAGATCTACGTTTCTGTCATCCGGTTCGAGCATTTGTATCCCAGTGGTGCCTTCGGTCTCCAAGAACTTATACCGGCGCCGAAGTTTCAAGCTCGGCCGCAGGGAAATCACGGCATGCACAGCACTCCCCCGGCTCTGCGGTATTCTCAGACACAGAGAGTCGTGCCAGTGACAGTGACGACTTTCAACACGCAACATCTGATCAGCAGACAAGTTCACCCTTTGATGGTAACAGAGAAGGAGAGGTTTCAGAGAAGGACGTGCGAATTTACAGTGACAAATCATGGGCAAGTGTGCCGCGTAGGAGACGTCAGGAAAAAGAAGTACAGAGTTTGCCGGATGATGCACCAGCCAACGCAAAAACAGTAGCAATGAAAATCAGGAGGGAGCAGATTTTAGAGAGAAAGATAAAAGAAAAATCAAGATCAGCTTCATCAGATGAGCATAACCAAAAGAATGGTAAAAAGCCCACATAATAAATCAACATGTTCAATTTTTGTTTAATAATTATAATACAAAGTCATCGTGAAAGTGTATATTTGCTGGCATCTGAGTACACATTACTTCTGGTTCAACAACCAGCACTAAACTTACCCTTTTAGTTGTGAGTGAACACAGTGAAGTGCATAGTCTAGTGGTATTGAGTTGTCTGTGAGAGCTTATCATTGCTCGATGAAATCCTAGCAGGGCCAAATTGCAACTGTTTGCCCATCTCATATTTAAGTCCCAGTGGCCTCCTTTAATGTTTAATCAAGTTCCAAGTAATAAATACAGGATATTTCACATTTCTTGTGATTTGCCATGGCTGTGGCTATGGAGAATTTATTTTGAAAGGAAATGAAGTCCAAAGCTGTAACTGGTCTGAATTCCATTTATGAATACGAATTTACAATGAAAATGGTAGCATTAGAATCAGACAAAGTTTTTAATAGTAAAATGTCTAAGTCCCACCAAGCACTCACTGTACGTGCATGTTCAGTGTTTGTGCTGGCAAAAAAAGAAAAGCAAACGGGTACCAGAACATGGTCAAATATTAATATCAGAGCCATACTAATCTGGTTTGTTTTCATCATCTTGTCACATGTCGTGTTTTCATGTTATTTATACCTCATTTATACCATAGAGACTGAAAGAATCATTAAAACTGAGGTGGATTACAAAGGAAAAACTACGAGAAATTGTTTCAACTTTAATCCTTTCATCCTAAGCCAACTCTCATGTTGATAATCTAAATTTTGGAAAAACTGTTGGCCAACGCCTTACTAAGGCAAGTCATTGTAAACAAGCTGGGATATTGCTTTGATTTGGAAAGATATCAAATTATGTGTAGAAATACTTTACAAAAGTGCAAATTGTACATGGATGCATAAATCTTGTTTGCAGCCGCTTATGAGTGGCATGCGTATTTCTTGTGCGTAAGCTTCAAAAATGAATCTTTGAAGAAAATTGACGACATGGTATTGAAACAAGTCACAGTCAAATTGAAGAGGTACAAAACACTGCAAAGTATGATTTGATGTTTGCGCTGAATCTTTAAAATCAGTTTTCTTCAAGAGCATCAGAACTGTACCAATATAGGAGGTTGAACTTATAAAGCATCACAGTCACAATTTTTGCAAATTTTGAGTGTTTGATTTACACCTGTTTGTTTTTCCTCGACAAGAAGCAGATCAGTCTGTTCCCACCAAGAGGAGAGATCTGGATAGCAAAGGATTCCGCAATCTGCGACACCAAGTGCAAGATCTGAGCAGATTTCAGGAAGATACAGTTGCCTCCATTCTGTTCCGAAGTGTCATATACAATGAAGGTTAGAGCAGATACGTGTGGTTGATGAGAATTGCAATTGGCTGGCTTTATTGAACTTATTTATTTCAGCAGAATATCAAATAATTTTGAAATGCCTGCTGTTTTTCATTGTGGATTAGTTTTTTACTGCATTTAACAAAATTGTTTGTAAGATTTTCAAAATTAGGTTATCCCCTGTGGCATATCGGAAATTATTTTTCACAGCTTTGTGTCAACAATGTCTATTGGGAGTGACTAGGTTGACGATATTTATCTATAAATTAAAACAAATACAAGAACAGAGAAAAGGAAGGAATAATAGAATCAGAGAAACAAAATCAAGTGTAGCCCATTGTTGTTTATTAGAGATGATCAAAAGAGGTTTAACTTCTGGAAAATGCCCTAAAGAGGCAAAACACATATCAAATGGAAAAATACAAGAACTTTATGGTCACAGAATTAATGTGACGATGTGCCTGTCTATGTACATTCAAAATTATGTGACCCTTTGTACCTTTTTTTTTTAAAGTTTGAGTTGCAGTTGGAGACTTTGAGTGATGGAGAGTACAAATCGAAAGCAGTTTGTGGAAACATCTTTAAAAGAGGCAAACTCTAAACGAGAAGTTTGATTTCACTCAATGTTTCAGTCGGTGTGTGATCTAACCAACATCAGCAGAGCTTCAAACCTTAAATTAATAACTCCATTTCTCCTCCTAGAGCCTCATTTGTTTCTTTTCTTTGAGTTTTTCGTCGTTCTTTTCATAACCTCGCAAATTCAGAGAAGATATTTGTTTTCAGGTCTATGGTAAACTTATTTTCAGCTTTCTTTTTGTAAACTTGTGTTCTGTAACTAGGGGAACTTATTGCCATAGACAAGCCATACGGTTTGCCATCGCATGGTGGCCCAGGTGTGGTGCACAGCGTCGACTCGCTCCTCCCCCTCCTTGCAAAGAAGCTCCGCCTTGAAAAGAGTAACCCCCACTGGAAGCTCTACTTGGTCCACCGGCTGGACAAAGAGACCACGGGTGTCATGCTGCTGGCCAAGACCGAGGACATGGCCCAGCGGCTGCATCACATGTTCGTCCGGCACCAGGTGGGCAAGAAGTACTGGCTGGTGACCGTCGGGGTGCCGGACCCCCAGGAGGGAGTCATCGACATGCCCATGGTGGAGAGGGAGGTTGCTGGAAAGCACAGGATGGGCATCAGGCCAGACATTGGAGCCGTCTACAAGAACCTGGGCAGGCTGGGCCGAGGGGAGGGTACGAGGGCAGTGACGAACTTCCGAGTCATAAATGAAAATGACCATGCTGCACTCGTGGAGGTTCGGCCAGAAACAGGTGAGACTTTATTACTTGTATTTGTTCACGGTATCCCTGGAGCGGTGAGCTGAACATCTGCTTATCGTCCTACTGACATAACCTAAGTAGATGGAGCATCATATTTATTCCGTTGTTGGCAGGCATGTCACAATTCATCAATGTATTGTTTACCATGAGGTGAGCATACCATGCTAACTGCATCCCAATACAGAAATCTGGATTGTGATATCCGGCTCTGAACCAACTTCAGAGAAGAGACAAATTATTTCTAGTAACAGAACTCTGAATTTGTGGGCTATGTATCTTGTAGTCGTGAACAAAACTTACGTCCAAAATTTAAATGAGAGCAATTCCTACTCGTAGCAAACTGAGGTGTTTTGGGGTTGCCCGAGAATTGCCCCATATATGATTTCAAGGCTACTCTGAAAAACCTGACCTAATACCATTTGTGAATAGTGGGCAATTTCAGGGGGGGGGCTTTCATCTGTTAACAGCCCTGAATACTGACCTAAGACTAGTCTAGACAATGATACGGTTTTTTTTTTGGCATATTTTACCATCACTGCACTCTCCTTTTCATTTCCTACAAGGCGTCAAGCATCAGATCCGAGTCCACATGGCCCTAGGCATGGATTGTCCAGTGCTAGGGGATCACAAATACTCCCACCACAGTAAACTGGCTCCGCAGGTAAATTGCTTAATCTTTTCCGAGCTGAAAGGACCACATTTATGCATGTTGCGATTGTGGCGGACTAAAGACTTGCTGAAGTGTTATCGTCAGGTCTAAACATTAATTTGTGTTACACAAGACCTCAATCACTTAAAGAAAAGGGGACACAGTGTAAGTCAGGAATATGCTGTTAACTCAGCGTGGTTTACCGGAAAAAACTGTCTGAAGGGGGCGTAACATGCAGCTACGTCCATAGGCATTTCTCTTGTTTCACTCTGTGGCCAAAGCAGAAAGTTCACTCAGTAGTGGCACCATCTTTTGCATCAAAATGCACAATATGGCCGTTTCACAGTAGTGCGCCACCAAGAGTTTGCAACGTGTTGGCCAATCACAGTGAGCGAAATTTGTCGACCCAATGTGCGTTTGGAAAGGGTCGACAAATTTCGCGTGTTATGATTGGCCACCGTGTTGCAAACTCTTGGTGGCGCACTATTGTGAACCGCCCGTATTGCCCTCGTAAGTGTTGAAAATGGAAGTGATGGTGCATTGGGAGCAGCGGAGCAGTGTTTAATTTAATTGCTTGATGAGATTTGTATTGAGAATTATTTTTTGTTTTGGTACTGATAGCCAGCCGTTGGTATGAAAAAAAGTGTGAATGTGACAAAAACAAAGGTCTGGGAAAGGTTTACAAAGAAATTTTTGAGCAGTCCCGAAAACAGTAAATGAGGGCCAGCCTGCTGGATAATCTGTTCATATTTTCTGTTACCATCATTTTACATGCTTACTCATCCTCCCTGAAAGTTACATGTACATGGTAAGGATAAGCAGGTTGTTCTAGGCGTGGGGGTGGACAGTTTTATAGGGGACTTTTTGTTCATGGAATTGAACAAAAGTCTTCTCGTTTCTTTTTTAAGTCTTCAAGTTCTTCTTAAAACACTCATTCTTGAGAAATCTTCTTCTCCCCCTTCCAGCGGCTACCAATGGCCATTCTCCACCAGCTTGGCATCCGGCAAGCTAAGGCACGCACCGTACCCATGCACCTCCATGCCAGAGAGATCAAGCTCCCAGAATTCCTCAATGGCAAAAACCTTTACATCGCCACCAGGGTGCCCAGGTTCTTCCAGCAAAACATGAAGCGGCTGAAACTCAAAGTGCCATAAACCTTCAAAAAAAATGGTTGACCGTGGAGGTCACGCTTCACTTGCACGCCAGGAATAGTGGTTGTAGAATGTGATGTTCAAAGTTCACTCCCAATGAAAACCATGAGTACTGTCTCTCCTGGTAATTTAGAGCCCACAACTCCGGTAATATCTCCATTGGAATGCCTTACCCTTGACTCGCAGCAGGTTTAATATTTCTGTGGCTTGGAGATATATATAAGGTGGGTTTGATCAGCTTTGACAAGTTACACAGGTTCAACCTCGTCCCCGCCGTCTTGCCTGTTTGACATAGCACACACGACCATCCTCAGGTAGGGGCTGCCCCAACGAAGCTAATTAACAACACTAATTGCTGTGCGCTATCAACCAGTTAGTGTTAATGTAATTGGGACTGTGCTGTCAACCCAAGAGGACAGCCTGTCAAGGTCACATTGCTTGATATTGTGCACACGTGTGAAAGGAGCAGAGGGCACCTGACCAGTTTTTAACAGAATGTGCACAACCATTATTGCTGTAACAGTGGTGTTTATGGCTTGGGGTGGTTCTGAATGAAGTCTGTAATACTTGTAACTGGACAGGCAGGAGGGGTTCGTGACTGGATGCATATGCCTATTATGAAATTGGCATTTACTGCTTTTAAACCAAAGGTGAATGATAACTTGAAAAGGATTGATACTAGTTAATTGGTTAATTAATCATAGCCAGACAGAGAAAGATAATCAAAGCAGTGTGAATAAACACCAATAAATTTGTATGCTGTTATTTTCAAATTTATTTGGTGGGTCCGAATTGGCTACTTGTAATAATTAAAACTCTACTGTACAGGAATTAACAAACAATTATGATACAGGTATGTACATGAGAAGTTAGAAGGTACATGTCTGTGTTCTCTCATTCCCAGAAGAGACAAATGTCTTTTCCATGGATAGGAACGTTCAGAAGGAAATGTTCCTCAAAGAGCATCAAAAATTAGCAGAAAAGAACCACTGCGTAATATTCGCACAAGATGAACGGTGTGATAAATTTGTTTTCACTACAGTGAAAAATTTAACTATCTGCTTTCAGAAATAGTGACTTGATTGTTTTCAATGTAAGCTGAGCTTCTCTTTCTTTCATCCGACCAGTACACATTTCTAGATGACCAACATTCGGCACAGTTCATTCGTGGTGTAACGGTTCGTTTTTTTTAAACATGCTTCCAGATCTTGATTTGGATTCAATTTTAAAACCAGCATTGTAACAAAAAATTATGAAAATAATTAAAATAGAAAATAGAATTCATTACAAAAGTCTTTTCGCCACGCCAGACATCTCAAATTGCACAATCTGTGAGTTAGGGAAACCACACAGGAAACCAGCGATTTCCTTTTAAAGAAAGAAATAACTATAAAAGCCGAGTTGGCGTATTCATTCAAATTACTTGATTAACTTGGCAATAAAATCTGGCTAATACAGCATGTTAAAATCTTTGAACGCTTCAGGAGCAAAATGTAGCACATTATTTTCAATTAGGCGCATTCAACATATTCATAACACAGTACGGGTCACCACTATGTCTACAGCCCAATAAATATTTAGAAGCATTTGTGCACATTGTATTTCATTTAGGATGAAATATTTACGGTTGTGCTTCTTTTAAGACGTCTACCAAATTCTGCCAAATGATACTGAATTCGCAGGAACAGTTTCAACAAGTTTTAACTGTTTGACCCTGAAAGGCATCTAATTGTCCTTTGTGTGCACTGCAGTGTTGGCTAATATCATTTTGAAATCAACAGTTTACACCTACACTGCACATTGAAACAATTCACGGTTTGATCCATACACTGCCATACAGAAATGTGTGCATTTTGAATTTATAAAATTTCCGATATTTTAATTCCACTCAATGAATAATTTTCGTTAATATCCCAATTGCTACGCAGATGTTTTTTGTTTGAGTTGTTAATTTGAATTTGGGATATTTCAGATTCCCAGGGCAAGTTAGATATTTTAAAATTGCAAATATGCAGAACCAAAATGTTGAACATATATGTGCATGCACTCTGTTACGACTGTTAATTGAAAAAGCAAGGGCAACACGGAGAATGTTTTCCTGTGAGCATCGTGCCGTTCAAACTAAACTTCACCGATTCAAAAAAACTTGCACGAATGCAGAAACTTAGATTGGCAGGTCAAGAAAACTCAAAAACTCATTTGGCAGAACTTGATAATGCATCGCACCCCTTCCTTATTTTTGCAAAAGTCTTTGATCTTTCCACGCCTCATTTGCACTGAAATAAATTAGAAAGACTGAAATTTGGAATTATTAAAATGAACATTTCCAACACTCTGCAGCAATTATTATTTAAAGTGCACACACTCTTGTCAACATTTTCATTTGTTTGATGCAGAATAAAGGAAGTCAAGATGAAAATGGTCTTTGAAAATAATGACAAGTACAAATACATGTTAAGAGCAAACATAATGGAAGACATTACATCAAAATAGAGTATTCATTTAAATTATGAGTCTAAAATTTAAGCAAACACATATAAATCAAAGGGCTACCTCAAACTCTCAATTACTGTTAACATAAAAACAAAATATCAAATTATGCATATATTCGGTTGGACTTGAAATAAAACAACTGTTTGACAGATTATAAATGTATTATTTACAAATGTCAGTAACTCATAAATTCTACATCTGGGGTAAGAAAAAGAGCAAATCTTGTGACGAAAGACAGGCTTTGAGGGCAACAATCTCTTTCTGACATCTCATATAAATATTCTGTAGGAACAGGCAATATTTCCCTTCACATTCATATAAACTTATCAATGACCTTGGATGCAAGTTAGTTGCATTACTAAACCCAAAGCCCGCACTGCCCACCACAACATGTGCCTCTTTAAGAAGTGCACTATGTGGAGAAGTGCATTTCATGGCAAAGTGGCTTGCTTCAGGACACAATTCCAACAAATCACCCATCCACATTTAAATTAGGTGCATTAACAGAACCAGAAAAAAAGTTACAGGTCTTTATATCCACGTTAGAGACTTTTAAAAACCACTTATTATTTTCATTATTTCTTATTATTACTTCAATTGAGATTGTCTGTATGCATGTAAAATAGGTAAATGCTGCAGATGGGTGTGAACAATTGTCTCACTTTTTTGGACAAATCGCAGGAATGGCAAAGCTGCAGGAAATGATATTTGTAAGCAAGGTGAATATTTACCAGACAACCCCTGCATTTTTAAGCACCTCATGCTTGTGTGCTCACTCATAGGAGCAGACGAACAACTATGCAACCATTTAAACCCTTAAAATGTAGGTAAGGCTAAAGGTCTCTTCACACTGCCCCAATTCTCCATACTGGGCTTGGGTCAAGACCCATAATTTTTTGACAACCTCATTCAGACTAACAACTTCTGGTTTCAGCCCTCCACTCCAGTCTGGTTGGGACCAGGCATGAGAGGCTCTACTCGTGCAGACAATGAGACAGGATGGTATTTCAAGAATGCCAGATAAATTGAGAACAAAACATCTGACGTCATGCAAGTACAGGCATGCTCAGTGCTTGCGACAGGCGTGCAATGTTTCCTCGGATCAGCTAATATCCTCATGTTTCACTTCACACTCACTCCACTGAAAATTGCAAAATGTGGTGCAAAGTCTTGTAAAGACCAGAATTTCCTCGTTTTGGAGGTCAAAGTCCAAGTTGCATGCCTGGCGTGTGTTGGCACCATTCCTTGCTGATAGGATAACCTTGTGCAAGGGCATTGATATTCTTGAATGACCTGTGATTTGGAGCATGCACAGTTGAAAGACCAAATGAACTCATTGGAGATAACAGCTGATTTGTGTGGAAACCAGTCTGCCGCTCAGGGAGGGGAGATGGGTAATAGCCTCACGGCGTCGCTTCCAGGTCTTTGCCGACAAGTCTTTTGAATACTTCACAAATGACTCGAGCAGATTCACAAGACTGTGCTTACATCAGATATGAAACTAAGGCCGTGTCCGAAACGGGCTTCCAGAGCTACAGCTAGGTCTATTGTCTGCGCGTCTCCACACATTTCCAATGGAGCGAAGACCTAGATCTAGCTCTGGACAACAGATTTGGATGCAGCCTAACTATGCCTAACATCAATGGAAGAAATAGGCTGGTTCCCTTTGATGTAGAGCATAGTACACATTTTCTAAGTTCCTGACAACGATGATACTAAACTATTCAAAAACTCTTGGCCAAGAAATTCAACATTGGAAAAATACCCTTGTAATTCACTGTACACATGTTTACATCATGGAAAAGTACAATTTCAAAAACACATGTAGTAATACAGAAAGTACTTTTTTATGTTCATATTTTCAGCCAAGCGTATTCACACTAGTAAAAAAATAATCCAATTAGCTTCATCTTGCTCAGAGGAAAAGCTTCCATTTTTGAACATTTTTTTTCCCATTAAGGCAACCAGTATGCATTCATTATTGCTTAAAATTATGAAAACAAACTTATCCTTGATTAAGTGTGTAGCGTACACAATTTCAACATTGTATCACTTAATTTGGGAGGATGTTGTCTGTTTTGATGTGTCCACTCAAGTACCCCGTACACAAGCCTTTTAACATGGACAAGAATCAGAAACAAAAACCTCTTTGAATATGACAAAAATAATCATGGAATATATCAACTTTCCGCTCTCTTTCCTGTAGAAAAATACGGTAAAAAACTTCCAATAAATTCTGAAAAAACATGAGGGATCTGATTCTAACATTGCCTACCCTTCTCGTCAAAAATGTTAGGTCAAAAAGAGCCGGAAACTTGACAATGGCACTTCCATGAAGAACCGAGAGTAAGCCATTTTGACTGACTGGCGAGTGTTAACTTTTTTTGTTTAGCATATACAATAAAAACTGTACAGTGTGACCACAGTTAGTTCATTCTGTGCCTCCAGTATATACAAGGTTACGGGGATGATCAAGAGTGGTCAACCTTTGGCATAATGAATTAAAAGTAGATAAATATTCATAAACTTCGATTATAAATATTCATTTGTGTGCTTTGTAAGTGTTCACAAGTATGCTGAGAATATCACATATGAAAAATCATGCTATGCAATTCTCAGTTGAAAAAAATTACAGATCTTTTGCAAGGTAGCCATCTTTGATCTGTTTGTTTCTATTCCAAAGGGATGTGAATTAACAGTTTTTTCAATTTGTTATTCAATGGAAATACATCCAATGCGGCTGAATGCATGCACAGGGTCTACATGCATGCTGAGAGGGAACAAACAGGGAATGGTTTCGCTCTGTGGATGAAACTCACAAAATGCAGCTGCACTGATCGAGTGGAAAAAATCACCTTGATTGCAATTTCCAAATTCACAACGTCTGTAATTCTGCCAACCTTTGCAAGATGTGGGAGAGTATTACCAAAACACTGTTGACCTCTACAGGTCCACCATAAAGCCCAGTTTCACTGCCTTTGTAATGACATCAACCAGCTCAACGCCATGCCAGGGTCCCCTATCTCTAACACCCAGGGGCAAAACGTCAAGATAGGTTCAACTGCTATTGCGTCGACATCTACGGGTAGATCATGAAGCCGAGCCTGTCTCTCTACAGCCTTGCGGTTTAGATCAACAAGCAAGACGCTACAGTCCGGTCGACGAACTACGGGTATAAATTGATAAACTGATTTCTACTGCCTTGCCGATGGCGCCCATTGATAAAATGAAGCTGGGCTGTAAATTATACACAGAGAAGTCTACTTCTGAGCTGTTCACTCACAAGATGATCAGCAAGATGATTGAATGGAGATAAGGCTCAGGTGCACGTCAAAGGAGTCTAGAGAGGCTGAAGTGACGCACTACCTGTGCTCTCTGAGCGCAATGCCCACTATTTAATGATGAGCTTGACTTGTATAAGCATCAATGTATCGTGCTGTGAACAAGAATCCAGGGTTTGAGCGTTTACATCACGGAGAGCAAGAAGTGGTGAAGATATATTCGATAAGATTGAGCTAAGTAGGATTGGCTAGAGGTATTCAAGGGCCTTTCATCGAGTAATAAGAGTAATTCCAAGTGATAAAATCTACACACTGAACATCCCCATGTCAAGAGAAAACCTGCCGGTAGATACAGGATCGTGTCACTGCACATATGTACGTAAGAGGCTGATATCTGAATAGCATGCATGGGATATATGAACATTATCTCCCAGTTGATACGGGAGTCTGATGTGTGAGGTCGGGCTGACCACTACCCAGACCCTTGCAAACTGGAAGATGCTTGGCAGAGCTGCGAATGTCCAACCACCCTTCAGTAGTGCGCCGAGATCTGCCGATGACTGAATTGCGGAAAGAGTGTACGATGCCAAGCCCTACTGCTAGCAAAGCTCCACAGCTGTTTGACAAATTTTGGGTGGCTCTCACCGATAATGAGATAAAGCGCAGAACCTTTCGCTGTATTTAATGAGGAGTCCTTCCACCTTGATTCACCTGTACTTGCATCATAAGGATGCTGAGCTCTACTGCCCATTAACCTCCACCTCAGGGAGATGATACTCAACAGGTCCTGTCAGCCAAACACCATTGCTGAGGCGACTGCATCTTCAGTCTGCTCTACAGTGCAGAGTCCTCCTGCCCTGCTGACGATGACCCACCAGAGTTGTCTGATAATGTGGCCGGTGTAATTTTCATGACTTCTACACTGCCGTTTGTCAAACCATTGGATTCGATCTTCAGAGACAGGGATTTCAGCCAGGACTGTACATCTGTGAAATCTGGTCTGTATTCACAGAAGACACAAAAAAAAAAGAGATTTACCAGAATCACCTGGAAAGAAAAAAAATCATTTAAACTGTGTTTCTTCAACTTACGAAAAACAAGTATGTGCTTATGTGGGCTATGGTGGTTACTTTCAATCAGAAATACAAGAGTAGTTCGTTTACAGACTGGTTTAATTTTTCTGACTGATCTGTCCACTCATTTTTATCGTAAATTATTCTTTCAATGTCCTGATTTAACATAATTTCTAAGCAGGATCGAATAATTCTGCTGTTTTCCTTTCTGCTATTTCACTAGTCCTATCTTTATTCCACTTTCAAGCTAGCATAACATGAGTTTTTTAATCAGTTGTCAAGTTAACTTTGAATGCTATGAAGAGCAACAGTATGAAGGATTTTGTGCTAAACAAAATTTATCTCTTTTTTTTTTTAATTGCTGTACTACCTTCTTTCTGGTTCAACTTCACAGCATTTGACAGCCACGTCGAACAGTCGTGCCGGGCAACCATTGCAAAACTGCTCCTTGAAGAGGGGTACATTAAGGCCAAAGGTCATCGTCCGAGGCAGATGGTCAGGGTTGGCGCTCACTCGACCAATCAGTTCGCACATGATGATACCAAAGGAGAAGACATCAACCCGCTCATCATAGGCCTTGCCTGTCATTGGTTGGAGTTGGGATCAAGACGGAATAATGAGCCAATAGCGTACATCATGATATATTTGGAGAGACTTATTTAAGGGGACATCCATGCACGTTTCCATTTCAATTGACCTTAATGCATCACGACAGGCCCCTGTACTTCAACCTGCTTGTGACTGCATAGAGTGTTGACAATTCAAGTCAGGTGACAAGTTCTTCAACGGAAGTTTGGCAGAGGCATTCCTTTATCGCTAGAGCACCAGTGGTACTCCTAACAGCGGTAACAGAAGCAGCAACAGCAGAATTAGTTGAGGTAGCAGAACCTGCCCAGCAGCAACACCACTGGCAGTCACAATGGTGACAGCAGTAGCAACGCTGGTGGCAAAATGCACCAGCAGGGGTGGCAGTATGGTAGCAGCAGAAGCATCAGGAACAGCGGCAATACCAACAGCAGCAACAACAAACACTATCATCAGTAATAGCCACAGCAGCGGTACTCTACAGTGTTGTAGTGGAGACCATTGCAAGACCAGACACAAGACCAGTCATAAGTAACAGGGTCAACAATGAGAAAGGAATGCTTTTGTCGCAGTTCATTTGAATAGATTGTAATATGAATTCAGTCCGGAGGTCTTGTGTTGGTCTTGTGCTGGTCTCGTGTAGCCTTGTAAAGGTCTTAAGTGGTCTCGACTACAACACTGGTATCGTCGCGGCAGAAGTACCAACAACAGCAGAAATGCCAACAGCATCAGTGACAAAAGCACCAGCAGCAGAAACGGCGGCAACAGCAGCAGTGCCAACAACAACCGTGCCAACAACAACCATGCCAACAACAACCATGACAACAGCTGTAACACATCATCAATTTCTCCTGGCTTTACCTTTCAACATTTCGGGCGCCATCCAGTAGGGGTTCCCCACAACGGTGTAGCGCTTTTTGCGGCCCGAGCGCCGAGTGGCAGAGTTTCGGTCAATCACTGGCAATCTGGGGTCACTCTTGTCTTGAACCATCACCCGTGCCAGCCCAAAATCAGCCACAACTACTGATCCGTTCTGTCACAAAAACAACAACAAAGGGTCTCAGTAAAATTGATGTTTTTCGATGCTGTGACTCAGGGGGGAAAAAACAAAGTAAAACAGACATACACGTCGCTGTGAAAGTAAATGTGCAGAAAATAAGAATTGATGTCCATTACCTTTCTGACGAGACAGTTTTGTGAATTCAAATCTCTGTGAATGATGCCCATAGAGTGCAGATATGTCTGAAAGAGAAATGTACAAAGACAATTCATATCACACATATTTATGTTGCTTGATTTAGCTCACTGTAATTAACGTTTTTTAGCCAGGTATCATCTGAGCGAGATCTACAAACGATAGGATTGATGCGCATGTACTCTGGATCCCAGACGGAACACAGTGATATTAAACAAAATTCTTCACAAGACTGTGATGGCATTGGCTTAACCCTCCTATGCTGAAGTCACTCTTTGGGTCATTTGGTGAACACCTCAAAGAAGCACAGCTGTGTCGTGTTGCGCACTGCACCAACAGTCCCTCACAGGAAGATCAGATTGCACTTTTGTGCTGCCCAACAACTGTACTTCACTGTTTCATGTGCATCATTGTGCAGTCAACCAAAT